CAAAGCGCTTTATTGCTTTCAGTAGTCGGTGGTAAAATGTCCGAAGGTATTAATTTTTCAGATGAATTAGCGAGAGGAGTGATAATGATTGGGCTACCATTTCCCAATATATTCTCAGCTGAACTAATCGCCAAAAGAAAATTCATTGAAGAATCAACAATTGCAAAAGGAGGAACTAAATCGCAAGCGGTAGTGAATGCTAAAAATTTCTATGAAAATATCTGTATGAGAGCTGTCAATCAAAGTATTGGTAGAAGTATTAGACATAAGAATGATTATTCAATTATTTATTTATTTGACCAAAGGTATGGACAGGATAAAATCCAGGATAAATTGAGCGGTTGGGTTAAACAGAAACTATTTACAAGAGGTAGATGTACCGATTTTAATCAGGTTATAGAAGAAACTCAAGGGTTTTTCAGACAAAAATTATTAGGTTAGGTTTATAGAAATATTCTTTATAATGGATAGACAACATCGCTTCTTAAAACCCATTTAACACCATCCTCGACAATCTCTGCCTCGTGTTTTAAGCAGTCATCACCATGTTTGTGCAACAATGCCATGCCTTTACTGGGATGAACATTCAAGTGCTTAGCACTTGAGTAATCAGGATAAAAAATTGTACCTCCACCTTTAAACTCATCATCGCCAGTTAAGTATATGAGCAATGTCCATTTTGTAATGCCCTTTTGATTACTTTTATCTTCAGCCAAGGGACATATCACCGACTCATCATAATGCTGTCCAAAATGGTGTCCCTTCCTATACCTATATATTCTTAATTGTGAATTTAACGCTATTGCATCATTAAATATCAGTTTCATATCATTGCCATCATCGTCTTCGTATTCAAATTCTTGCAATAATATCTTTTGTAGATATGACCACAAGTTTCTTGAAGCATCAAAGTCAACACTAAAACCTCTGTCATTAAACCTTGCAGCGTATTCTTTACTTTTAATCAACGGTGTTGTTTCCATTTTTAATTCGGGAGAGCTTTCAAACGACTTAATTAGTTCATTGCAGAGTTCATTACTAAAAAACTTTTCCACTATTATTATTTGATCTCTGATTAAAGTTTCTGGTTGAGGTTTAAAGAACTGTTTTGAATAATTAACCAGCAAATTATTAAAGTTATCAGGAAACTTGAATTTCTTCAAGTGTTTAGAATCAATCTTTGACACTTTGGAATCATTTTTAGATTTTTTAGGTGGCATCTTGCAACAAAGAGGATTTCATTAATAAACGAAATCTACTCACTTTTTACGAGCGCAGACTTTCTGATAATATACAAAATTTTATTTATGTCTAAATATATAATTACAACAGTGATTCTAAGGAAATAAGTAAACTGTATGTTTCTCTTGGCATCTTATATTGTACCATACCAGCATAAATCATACAGTTCTTTGCAATGGTCTTCAAGTTGGACAATTCTTCTCTTTCATTACTCGAGGTTTGATAACGTTTCGTTAAAATAGAATAATTCAATTGCGATACAGACGTCATTACCATTATCAATAAAGATGGGATAACTTTGATCAAATGATCATCCAATGTGTTATGAACAAATTCTGCCATTTTTCTGATTTCAATTAACCCATTAGATTGATTAACAGGCAACAAACCTAATTTATTAATTTCAATTATAACATCATTCCAGTTCTTATTCATAAACAAGTCTCTGATGTGAATTATTGGTAATAATAAATCGCAAGTTTCCTTTTTGGAAGGACTGATTCTATCCAAAATAAAACTATTATTGTAGAAAAGCTTCATTATGTGTTGAGATAATAATATAATATTATTATCTATAGTATTTTCAGATTGTATTTCGCCATTGATATTTTCGTAATTACCATAATTAATTAATGGCTTATCTAATTCGGTAGTTGATAACGTTTCGCCTAACAATTTGTTGATTAACGAAACAACCGTGTCGAAATCTTGGCACAATTGGTATAGTAATAATGCATCAAAGATTCTACCTTCTTCTTCACATCTAATAGCAGATGTTTCGATGATTTGCTTTTGAAATTGTTCCAAATTAGATAAATTGATTAAAGATCTTTGTTTCTCTAAAATCCCAGGTATTTTATTCCCATTATTTTGGTTCAATTCACCCAACAACATATTGAATTCTCTTGAAATTAAGATTAGTTCTCTTAATGCTTCATGACATTTGGATATCTCTTCCTTTGAATCGCCACCCTTTGACATGGCAATCAAGATGAGATATTGGCAAGCAACCATTGGGTCACTGATCTTGAAGAATCTTGTGTATGAACCTAACAATCTACTGAAGTTAATCTCATATTCATTTGACGAATTGATGAAGATCAACTCGTCCTTATTATTGAGACTTGAAACTTTCAATAATCCGTAATAACACAATCCAATTGCTAAATGAACAGCATCACATTCATTTATCAGATCAAATGCATATTCTACAGCCAACTCGTATAACCCAACCATTATTAAAGTTTTCAAGTATAATGGGTTATTGGAAGATGAATTGAACTTTTTAGGTCCTAATTGAATAACTTTCTTTTGTAAGTTTTCCAAGGAGTAATTTTCAAAAATTAAACTTGATGAATTCAAGTCAAAGTTGAATTCATTAATTATGGATAAGTGAAACCAAAGCCAATCCTCAATACTTAAATTAATTTCATCTGGCAATTTTTTCTTCGATAAGTCACATTTTCCAATGAGTTTATATACTGAATATTTGAAAGGATCGAAGTTACCCTTCAAGTCATCATTAATAAATGCAAACTGTTGATTAAATTCAGCATTTAATCTTTCATTCAATTCCATTGGTAAGTTAATGCAATCATTTTCAACAAACTTCTTTATGTAAACTGGGAAGTTCTTATCAAATTTATTGAAAAGATCTTTATTTTGTGATGCCAATTCTAGAGCATCTTTGTATAAACCACTTCTTAATAAGTAGAATATCAATGCCCATATTGGAACACCATTAACATTCAAGGTTTGATCTACAAATCCCGTATTATTCTTCATGATGATTTTATCAATAAAATATGAAACCTTGTCAATGTTAATTGATGTAGAGAACTGTTTCTTTTTATCATCCTTAGTGTAGATTTCGTCCATGTAGTTATAAAACTGTTGTTCCAAATAATTTTTACTTCTTTGTATGACTTGCTTTCTAAATTTCATGGAATTGGTATGATCAGTAGTTTGGTATGTTTCAAAAAACTTTTGTTCTTGATTAATTTTATTTGTCTTTTCGTTTGTCAACTCGATAAGTATTTTCCAAGCCTCCGAAATTTGTTTTGACTTCAAATCTGAATATGACCTATTCAATTCCTCAAAACTTAAAGCTATTGGAAAGAACGAGTTATTCAACCTAGCCTCGTTCAATTGATATACAATCTGGGCGTTGTTCTCGAATTTTTCTCTAGTCAAATTCTTTAAAAATGATGTGGATTTATGGGTCGATAATGGCGCTAATACATTATAATTACCGGGGATGGACTTGTTCCATGTTACCGACTTGGTGGGCTTAGACACCTTATGCGAAGTGTTCTTCTGAGGACCCCCGATCCCAAACGATTTTCTCAATTCGTCTCGACGTACTTTCCAGTCGATGGAAACATTTTCATTAATGAACTGGTTGAAGTCTTTCGACGCCGATACCAACGACTGTTCAATAGCCGCCAAAATATTCTCGTCCTTCTTGTCGTTCAAATAGCTATCGATGTTATTATTAACTGCATTCGAAACAGTCTGCGATTCAAGTGGCTTTACCGGTACCTCAATCGAGTTCAATTCGTTCTCGATCTCTTCTGCGCTCACACCACTCGACGCCAATAAATAATGCGCCTTGGTGAAGTTCTGTCCTTCATTATCATTCCTCTTTCTAAGCTGATTTGATTTTTTCTTCAACCCATTCAATGTTAAGTGAATTGATCCTAAATCTGAATTATTTGGCTTGGGTAAGTTATTAGCGGACTCTAATAAATCCTGCAATAATCTAGACGATGTATGAGCATTACTACTTGGAATTGTACTACTAACGTTACCGCTGCTAGGTATAGCGCCAGCGTCACTTCTATTTCCCATTTGCAAGCTTTCACTGACTCCTCCAGTTGGTGGGTTGATTCTTCCTGTTCCACTTGAACCACTAGACCCACTCAATCCATTAGATTGACCAAAAAATGACATCTATGATCTGATTCCTCTATAAAATGTGTATATTCAATTAAATAAGTGTGCTATTTGTTATTCTTTTTTACCTACAGTTAACCAAATCTTGATCAGAAAGACAGTTACCCGACCATTTACTCATTTGTTACACAAAATACATTTTTTTTCACCCAATTTTCCGCTATAAAAGCATCGGGCGATTTAGTTGATTTAATTTTTTTTTCCTTTTCTTCATTAACTTTGTCCAAAAGTAATCCATCACATAGACAGTGCATTATTATGATTCCTGTAATTGCGTGATTCGAGCCAGTATTTGGTTTCGGATCGGGCAGACATATTACGGGGATGCAATCATAAACAGATGCGATAGTTGATGGAGAGAAAAAATTGTGTCTTTTAAGAACCTGTCTGGATTCAAATTTGAAAGAGAGGTGTCAGTAGATCCATATATTTCATTCTTAGACCGTAGAATCATGTATGAGCTGTGATGGCGATTTCGTCATTACTATTTGTTACTATTGTAAATAGTAATCTGTAAGCTGTTGAAGGCTATGCACACAGCATTTCTAATGCATTATTTTGATGTCTCAGGCAAAGATTCAAGAAGTGTGAACTATATTCCGTATTACAAAACAAAAGAAAACCTAAAATAAGAGGGATTCATGTTTCAACGGTTCTAAAAACCAAAAAACCAAAATTAATTGACCTATTCTCAAAATTTTAGGGTTGTTTCTCTCTATTTTGTAATTTCGTTTAGTAAATTTAATAGTCTAGCATTTTGAAGTTGAAGATTAATGATTAAAAAGATTATTTAAATATGAAATATGCAAGAAAGATATAAAATTATTTGTGAAAAAGAAGATAATTTAATTAAACAATATATGCTAACTGATTTTGAGTTTGCTGTATGGTATCTAAAGAATTAAGAATCTTCACTATGAAAATTTGCTGTTTCTGTATTATTATTTAATAATATAGTAGATGATAATTTTATTTTACAAGATAGGCCGTTTGACATATGGACTATTTTTTCAGAAATTACCGTATATGAATTATTTATTTTCAAGATATGAATTTTTAAAATATAATGTTGCAAAAGCTACAATAATGTGTGGTTCTAATTATTAATATTTTCAAAATGATTTTTTACCTGAATGGGAATTGTATAAGTCGGCAGCTAAATGTTGTAATAAAGAAGTTTATGATGATCAAATGAAAAAAGCAAAAAATTTAGGTTATTTCTATAAAATATTGGACATAAAAAATGAAAGGATATTGGGTTTATCTAATAGGGTGGAAATACAGGAAATAGAGTTTGAATTTGATTATAGATTTTTAAGTTCTATTAAAAGCAAAAAGTCAAATGATTTTAAATATATCGAAAAAGTAAATAATTTTGATTCAATAGATTTTGAACTAATATCAGAATTTTAGCTACATTTAAATAATGAAACAGATCAACAAAGAAATAAGCTTTAAGAATGGTTGTTTTGAGTAGTTTATATAAACATGCACAAAAAACTAATTGATGAAATTCTAAGAATAGTTGACCGTAATCATATTAAACTTCAAGAAACGTCTACACAAAGTAGAAAAGGTTTACCATGGTTGTTTAAAGCTTCCAAAAAACTTCTGTTATTTTTCCAATCCAATATTGTTAATATTTTGGATCATTATGTCTATAACTTACGTTTTTAGCACAATATTTATAGATTTCAGAATAATAAATTCATCTGCTGTCATCTCAAAGATCGATATTGAGCATAATTCCATATGGCTTCTCAAGTACGAGTAATACTGTTACAGAGAGTAAGTTATATGAATATAGGCTAATAATAACAATGAAGTGGATCAGGATATCAAAGAGACATACTAAGATCACATATTATATAACTACACCCTCTTGTACGGTAAAGACCACGACCATATTCGCCGTAATTGTGATGGTATAACAATTTCAAGTTTGATTTGATTCTAGTTTTATTCATGGATCGTATAAAAATGTACAACAGAAAATTGATTTTAGCCGCATATAATGGAAATTTTGATGAATTCATTGCAAATTATTCTTGTGATGAAAAATCAGGATTATTAAATATATGTTTATGCAGAGGAATTAATTGTAGTATAGAATTTGCTGCTAAATTATACGAATCTGATATAATTTTGTGTATAGACGTCATGAAAGCAATATGTGGAAAATTTATAATGAATGATATTGTTAACATTGGTTTTGTTACTAAGTGTCCCCCTTTCTGTATTTGGTATCCAGAAATACCCAACAAAGAAACTTGTATTAAATTAATAAAGTTTGCAAAAGATACTATGAAATATCAAGTTGCAGCTGTATCCATGCTAATGAATTGGATAGATATATACTTTATGTGTGATGTCAAACCTGACTTTTATTTATTTAGGATGCAAAATGATTGATAGAAAAGAAATGACATCGGATCAGAATAAGTATGAAGAATTGAAGCTATATATGAGTCTGGCTCTGGGCAAAATCCAAAATAATAACAAAACTTTTAATAAAAAGATGCTAGCCAACGATATTCGAAAATATTGGATGTTCAAAAGTTATTTCTTTAATTATTGTGAACAACTTAATTATTTTACCATAATAGATATTGATTATGGCAGTGACGATCCTGTCTATGATACAATCGATCAAATTGACTATTACACTGGAGGTCCTTTAGGTATGGTTAGATTAGATGATATGTGTATTTCATATTACACATATAAGCAAATTTTGGAAATTCTAACATTGATACTACAGGCTATTTACAAACAGGAGACGAGCTTCGAAACTTATATTATAAGTTATCACATTTAAATTAATTTAGTCTTTGCATTTCAAATTATTTTTCACAAGACTTGTAACTTACAAATCTACTCAATTTAGTATTATAGAAATCAAATTTATTTAATTCAGTTTCTACTTCACCGTTTCTTGTATTTATGAACAATATCTTTAAAGAAATCACAAAAACTTCCAATCGTTCCATCGAAATTTACGCCAAAAAACATTATTTAGTCCACCCTTACTATAGCAACATATCGTAAATATTTGAGCTAATCCTAATGATACAGAAGCTAAAAGGATATCAGGAGTAGATGGAATTTGGACAAGAAATACCTAAGGAAAGGAAAGAAGGAGAATGGCTGCAAAAGGAAATCGAAAGCTGCATTTACTTTGCTCACAGAAAAACATACGCTTTCTACTGATAACCCGAGTCATTATATAGGTTGTTATATCTGGTGTATATCTTCATAAATGTGAATATTAGGTTGCAACATCTCCTCGATTTTGTGTAACTAATACTTTAAGTCATCATCAACAGACTGGTACTAAAGATAGAGATATCAGGTAAATAAAAGGCTACGATGCCCAGTACAAAATCACCACCATACAAAATCGTGATACTAGGAGACTCTTCTGTCGGAAAAACGTCATTAGTTCATAGGTTCACGACCAATAAGTTTGACGAACATACGGCTAATACTATCGGAGCAGCCTTTATTACAAAGGAGCATCATTCAAATAATAACCCGGAAAAGAAAGTGAAATTTGAAATATGGGATACTGCAGGACAAGAAAGATATAGATCGTTAACTCCCATGTATTACCGTAATGCAAAAACGGCGTTAGTATGTTTTGACTTGTCTAATATGGAAGAGACATTTGATAAGGCCAAATATTGGATAGAACAATTGCAAATCAACGCAAATGACCAGGATATAAACATTAAACTAATAGGGAATAAGAATGATATAGATGGGCTACGGGATCCTTCGGAATATATATCAAATCTTGCAAATACTATGAAATTTTATAAAACCAGTGCCAAAACAGGCGAAGGAATAGACGAGTTATTCGATGAGGTAGTGGATGACATTGATGAAGAGTTCTTTACAGAGTACTACAAAAATCAAGATAACGAAGCAAATAATTCGCAACGGCCAGGTATGATAAATGTTTTCAATTCTAGGTTTGGTGATACTACAAATAATAATAAATGCTGTTGATGTGTAAATAATACTTTATAAATACAAGATGGAAGTAAATGCAATGTAATATAATGCTCATAATCCTAACCCTTTTTGTCTCCAGTAGTCTCTTTTAATATCTTTATCTAAATTATTTTTTTGTTTATCGGAGTCTTGGGTTTCAGTATCTTCCTCTTCATTTTCCTTGAGATCGTCTTCTTCATCCTCAGATGGCGCGTTGATGCTCATAAAATCGGCTACTTTCTTTTTATTTGGATCTTCAGGTTTTGTATCCTGTGCAAATGTGGTGTCTTCTTCACTTTCAACCGTCATGTCAGAAAAATAGTATTTATTATTACCATTGGCACCATCACTTTCATCATCATCATTTCCATCCTCATTTTCATGATTAATTAATGCATCATTGGTGACCTTATGTCTATCATCGTTGAAATCTCTTTCTTTACCTCTATATTTGATAATATCACCTAGAATCAGTTGCCCGATTCTGGCCTTATAAGATGCACCATTTAATTCGTAGCATTTATCAACCAATAATTGAAATGCCCCTCCAAATGCCTTCTTTAAGTCCCTTAAGTTATACGATGATCTTGTTATATTATTAGCTGGATCAGAAGGGTCTTGTATTATGATGGAAAATGGATTTCTAGAAGTATTCAAGACTGGATGTTTTCTTTTTAGCAAGTATTTTGGAAGATCAGTTTCTGTATCAATTGCAATAATTAAATTGTCGTAAGAAAAATTACGCCCATACAATTCAAAGAATTCTATTAACAAAGAACCCAAATTGTCCAACACCGCCATATTCTTAGTAGATAGTCTTGGGTGTAGCTTTAAGAAGTGATAACATAGTATGATAGTCGAATATCCACCTAACCCCCCTACATGAACATTATTTAATTTACGTGATCTCAAAAACTGTTTCACAATAAGGACTAGTTCTCGCAAACCAGGAGTTGATGACAACCATCTTCTAATCTTCTTAGCAGCATCAATACCATTAGTTCTTTCGAAAGATATATCTATATGGAAATTAGAAGTTGGATCCACGAATTTAATAATGGGAACCTTGGCCTTGGCTATCACTTCTATATTTTTTGCTAACTTTTTATTTCTTAAGAATGACGATAACTGGTATAATCTCGATCTATGTTCATAGTCTCCTGTTTCTGATATAACAACCATATCTATATCCGATCCTGGTAGATATAAATCAGTAGCACAAGATCCAAAAACATGAACCTCAGTACCAGGCCAAAATTGCCCAATTTGTTGTTTCAACTTGTTGACAACTCTATTTCTGGTCATAATTTCCGCCTCAGACGGAGATATGTAATTGACAAAATCTTTAATTTCCATAGTGAACCAATCCGCAATTTCCTTTTGTTTTGAGTGGTCATGGTCTTTAATCCATGGGTATAACGATTTGGTGGTGGTTTGCGTATGAACCGTGCCTGATTCATCATCACTTAGTACCCCATCATCGGAATAATCATCATAATCGTCATGTTCAGGAGCATCCTCCTCTGACGAGCTGAAGCCAAATTCTATGAAATCTTGATTCTTGGCTAACTCATTATTTACAAACTTTTGCTTCTTCAATGGTGGTTCTTCCAGATCTTCCGGCCTGTCATTATCGGATTCTATCACAACACCTTCCTCATCATCATCCGACTCAACGAATACCATCTCTGGTTCCCTAGAATTTGATTTAAAGTCAAACTTCAAACTTGAGTCTGATTCATTATCACTAGATGGTAATGCTTCATATTTATTTTCAATCGGTATTATTCCACCACTTTTGCTCGTCTTTTTTCTTTGCTTCTTAGATTTAAGTTTGGCTGGAGGAGATTCTCTCTTCCTTTTGGATACCATCATCTACACGTCTAGAGAGAAATACTATTAATTAAATAGTTGAAGATAAATGCTGTATATATTTTGATGGACTATCAAAAAATTTTCGGTCATGTGATCCGATATGTAATTGCAGCTAATCCATTATAACTAAGGCCAATGATAAACTGGATGCTAATATCAAACAGGATACCCTTGTAAATTTAGACTCCAATAATAGTAAATCCGTAGAAAACAAAACTAGAACTGAAATTTTGATAATCAATTTGTAGGTATAAAAAATATTGTACTCAATGATATCGAAAAGTAAAATGTTTAGCATGTAGCTTAAGATCATGCAGAAGTCGAATATATTTGACTTAGTGACAGCAGATGATGCAAGAGTATCTCTAGTGGGAAATTTCACGGAATAATCATCGTCATATTCGGAACTGGTTATATCATGTACGTCATCGTCCTCCGACGTAATGTCGTCAGATTGATATATAAAATCAGGATCTATGGCCTCTTCAGGTTGGGATGGAATTGTTGCAGGAATTAGACCGTAGTTATTTGTTTTTTCTTCAAGATTGTCCTGAATTATCTCAGGTTCGGCTATAAATCTTTTCCATTTCATGGCATCCAAGAATTTTATCACATCGCCTGACAATAATCGGTTTGGTCGCAAATTCTCCGGTTCTTTGGAATCATCACCTTTTATCATCAAGTATATTAGTTTTTCAAAATCACTCACGCAGTTTTCATCAAAATCATTATTTCCTGGTTTTATTTGGGTTGAAGACACAAACCATTCGTGGAATTTGGTAGCATTTAGGTCAAAGTACCATTCTAGAATTCTGTCCCTGATGAGCTGTGGGTCCAATTCACCTTTAATCATATGCGAAAAAGGTAGTTTTCCAGCACATAACCAGCACAATATCAATCCCAACGAATAAATATCACTCTCATAAGTGAATTCATTTATAAAATATTGTCGTTCACTACCAAGGGACGGATCAAAATTAGAAAATAACCAAAGTTCTGGCGCTGTGAATTCAAGAGTACCAGTGTTTCCACGACGATCGTCTTCATCTTTATTCACGTCTTTAATGGAAACATCATCCTCGGGAATGTTATGCTTATTAATAAATTGGCCTTCCCCAAAATCAGATACCAAGACCTTTGGCAACTTTGAAAGCTCTCTGTTTAATTCATTTTCGCTCCCATAGATCCGATTATCGATAGGACTATTATCATACTTAATATCCAATAAACAATTGGATGGTTTGAGGTCACGATGAAGGATTCCGTGTAAATGCAAATAATGCACACCTTTTGCAACATCCCTAAAAAATTTCCATATTTCAATGCTACCCAACCAAGGTTTCTTATTTTCGTTATCTTCTTGATCCATACCCTCAAGTTTCTGACTAGAATTTTTACGTACAGATCTACGGCGCTGCCTTTCCAAATCAAGTTGCTCTTTAGCACTTAAATGCAATTCACGTAGGAATACTTTTTCTATTAGGTCTTCTAAATGCCCACCATCACAATATTGTTGAAGAATGAAGACATAAGGGATCTTATTATCAAATTCAGAATTTTTCTGTTTATCCGGTAAGAAGTAAGTCTTCAGATCTTGAATATCACCCAACTCTAACCAAACATGATTATACCTAATTAAATTATTCTCATTAGCCCCTTGTATGGATAGCTCGTATAGAATAAGTACTTCGTTTAAAACCTGTTCTAGTAGCTCAATCTTATCTCCTATGCTAATTCTTTTTACCGCATACGTTCCAAGTTTTATATCATTCAATACATGAACCACTTTATATACCTGCGAGTGTGCACCAGATCCAAGCATAAATGGAGGCACCTTCTTAAAAAATCTTTTGAAATAACCTTGGTTAAATATATTTTCTGGTAGAGTAGAGGTTGATCTGACCCTAGGTTTTTGATTATAAGGTAGCTTTCCTAACAACTTAAAATAATCATGATGCATAAAACCTTCCGGGAAATTCTTCATCATAGCCCTCGTATTATCGGGATCGGATTTCAATGAATCCATTAATTCATTCAGTGCATCGCTTTTTCTTCTCTTTGACGATTCACCAATATTGGAATGTTCAGACCATGCAAACCCACAATTCGGACATTTTACGTGATTGTGGGGATTGCTATTCCCATATCTTGTTCCACCGCTGCGATCTTCATTACGAACTAGATCTATTTTATTACTCTGATCCTCGTTTGTAGTTGAGACTAATTGAAGCGTATTATCCTGATTATCATGGAGAACTAAAATACCGTGGTTCGGATCGTGATAGACTATTTCGTTGCTTGAATTATACGGAACTATTGACATATAGACTTTTTGGAATCACAAGCAAAGATAAATAGAATCAATTGAAATTAATATATCTAATAGTATATATTTGTTTCAAACAATGGATCATTATTGTAAATTCGAACCTTGTATAAACTTAGATTGCAATCAAGTGCCTGGTTTCAAATAAAATTAGATCATACTGCACAAAGAATATCTACGCTTCAAGTATCATAAATTACTAGTATACATTAATTATGCTATTTAAGACTCTGCAGAGTCTATATTTCTCATACGAAGAATAAATGTCATCAACTTGGTTTCCAATTGATATTTTTCACTTTGAGGAATACGTGAAATTTCGACGTCAGACATATTTTCGATATAAGAAGCAAGATTGTTGGCTGCTATGCATGGCTGCAATCCAGAATTTTCATTAGTGGTAGACCCTTCGTCTTGGGGTACATTATCTGAGTCTTCCTTTTCTTTAATATTTTGTGAGTCAAATATTTCGTCGTCCTCACCTATGGTTGAAAGGAAATTATTAGATTTTGAATCTGATTCCGGAGTAAAGTCTTCAGATCTGTCTCCAACATGTACAGGAGGCAGTTTTGGTATCAAAGTATTGTAGCTATCTGATAATTGTATACTGCTCGAGGTTTCATTAGTGCTTGGTTCTGCTAATGCGGTAGAAGTTGCTCTGAATTTCTGAGTATTAAAAGTAGGTGGTGCCGTTTGATCGCTGGTTGATGAGCATTGTATCTCATCATTGTCCATCGAATCGCTTACATCTTTTCTAATTTGGCCATTGGAAGATACATGAACGATATGCTTGCCTAAATTTGAGTCTCTTGTACTTTTATCTTTCATTGAAATACCTGGTTCTGGTGCTGACTGTCCATTGTCATTCTTCTTATCAGAAGGAAATTCATTTTGCTTTTGTTTCTTCCTATCACTGATTTCGTCTTCATAATAGCAGCGCTTATAATTGTTAGATTCTTGATCGTCTGTATTCTCAATATCTTCAGACAGATCTGACGATTCACGGCTCGAAAATCCATTTTGGATCACTTTGCTGTAGTCATTACTGCTAGGAGAAATTGATTTTCTTGTCCTGTCAAGGGTTTCTGGGGGTGAACTAGGTTCATCTTCCACAAGCTCAAAATCGTTAATTGAATTTTGAGACATTGAGCTTGCCTCGAGTTGTGAAATATCATCATCGTTAAATGAAGAGGGTATTTGAACTTCACTTTTTATATGATCCAATTCAATAGTTTTTTCATTGCCACTGGGTGATTTGGAACTTTCAGAATTAGAAACATTACCGGGAGAACCTTTGTTTAAATCTGACTTAGCGTTTCTTCTTGTCTTCTTAATTGGTGTTGCTGGAGAAAGTTTGGCGTTTAACATAGCTGTAAACGAATGAATATCAAAGTTTGGATTTATTTCTGGAGCTGGTATATTTTCTTTTTTGACTTTAATGTTGGTTTTCTTTTTTCCCTTCGGCTTAGCTACTGATTTAGACTTCTTTCGGCTTGCTTTTGATTTGGTCAGATTATCCATTTCCTGACTTATATCAGAATCGGATGACATATTCCTTTTTCCGTAACGGTTAGCTCTACTATCTTTATTTGGATTGGAAAACAGTTTAGGAATTGAAATGTTCTCAATTGACTCAATTGTTTCCATATCGTCCATAGGTAGGTCTTTAGAACAGTCAGGAACGCCAATTATCTGTGTATTATCCTCTTTACCACTAGCCTCTAAGTTTTTCGAATCGTCGGATGAGGCTGGTCCAATTTGCTTAAGAAGTTCACCATCATAATATAGCTCAGAATTATCTGTAAGCCATGCCGTTTTCAATAATGGCAACCTATCCCAATTATTTTGAATATGCGATCTTACATCTAATCCTACTTCATAGGATGAAACAAGAAAATCATCTAGCAACTTAAAATTTCCTGATTCAACAATACTAGAAAGATACGAATTCCAAACCAGACGAAATTCGAACTGGCGAAAGCCTTCTAAAGCCTTAAATTTTTTCATTATATGTTTTCTTAAATTGTAAAGTTCAAGATCAAACCGTTTATCAATAAGAAACTTGAGGATTTCAAAAAACTCCTCGTCATTCTCAAATCTGGAAATTATTAAGTTTAGTGGAATTTGTTTAAGATGGGGATGTGGGGCATTGTGAACTAGTTCAACAAAGTATTTAAATATAGGTATGGCCCACAATTGAATATTTAAGATTCCTGATACACGCTCAAATTCTGTAGCACTGAGTAACACAATAGATTGGATTAGTTTTTTAGCTATCGATTCATAGTCTTTGGATATTATTTGGAAAAGGCCTCCAGCTAATTCTAATTCGAGATTGGAAGCAGCATTTATCTTTCTACTATTCAAAGCTGACGTTATAAAGTTTTTCAATCCAGCATGCGAATTATGTTCTTGTAATTTGACCAATTCGAGAAGAAATATTAAATTCTTCGAATCACGGATTGCCAAATGGATTGATTCCAAGAAATCGAAAGCTTGCAGTTCTTCCATGCCACTCAAACAATTATTAATAATTAGAATATAAATATTAGTTTCATTTGAACCATTTTTCTCTATTAAATTTGAAGCATCGAAGGTATCGTTCAAATTAAGCATGAGCTTTTGAAGAGAAGAATATGAAACTTTGTTATGTTTGAATAGGATACTTAAAACGTTGGGTAAATTGTCAATTATATCTCGAGTGGCATCGGAAGGTTTTATTTCTTTCTTGGTGATCAGCTTTAAGGAATTCAAAAAATTGCTGAAAAATTCCAACTTTGAATCTATAGTCAATCCTTCCAATTTAAAAACAATGTTTATGTTTTGCAAAATTCTATCAAATTTAGTGAATATCCATTTAGGACTTACTGGACTAATATCATTAAGACTTATGGCTTCATTAGATAGGCATCGCATTTCATTGAATGGCTTTTCGTTACTAGATACTGATGGTTTTATTAAACGTGTCAAAATCTTTAAACCTAACTCATTCATGTACGTATTAGATAAATCTTTCTTAAAATAAAAGTTTATCAACACTGACTGAATAATCTTATCCCAGTATATGTGAACATATCTAGATGAACCTAATACTAGTGGATTGAGTAAGGTGTATATGATTGATAAAAATAAGTTATGTGACGAATCAATGATTTCCTTTTGATTTTCCACAGCAGAAATATTAAGTAACGGATGAATTAACAACTTAATCTTTGGCTTTAAAATGTTATTGATGGCTTGTGGTTTTGTTTTATTGCTTTTGCTATTTGGACTTGAATCAATTAAATATCTGATGCTGTCTAGATCATTGTGACACACGTTGAATATGACGGCTTTCCAACTGTTTAACGCAATTATTTTAGCTGAATTATTATTTACATTGAAACATGATTTGTGTACTCTTAACCAGTCTGATAGAAAAGGCCAGTTTTCGTAGCCTGAGTCACTATCACTAGATAATAATGTTACACCTACCCATATATCCATGGCTGATTTATACTGGCCATTTCCAATTAAATTTTCAAGACTGGATATTATAAAATGTATCACTAGATTTTCATCAGAATTAGTAGCAGTTGCTTCAGATGATACTGAAATATTTGAGTCTGTGGTTATCGATTTAACTGTTGAAGGTAAAGGAGAAGCTAACAAACGTCTCACCGAAAATAAAACATTCTTATTATCCAAATAGTTCCTAGCGACCTCGAGTAACACCAGAATTCCCATACCGATGACCTTTGAATATAAGGGGGAAGAGAGATCGCATAAGTTCATAAGGAAAAATTCAAACCAGTGCTTAAAATTGTTAGCCATCATAACAGGGAAGTTCAGTACTAAATTTTTTAAAGTCACAAACTCTTCAACAACTAATGACGAGCTTAAGAATTTCCTCATGTTAAGCAAACTTTGTAAAATAAGTTCCAGGATATTAGTATTTTCATTTTGATTGTTAAATATTAGTTTCTTTTTCTTGTTATTAAATTTGCAGTCCTTTAGTATACTGAGATATGGTATGATTAATGTCTTTGATATTGTTGGTTTAACAATTGTTTTGCAACAATGTACGTAAAACCACTTTGCATCTTCAATTGATACGAAATTATTCAATTCTTGGTCTAACATGATAAAGTTGATTAACTTTAAAGCTTGACTGATAATACGAATACTAAATGGATCATTTTTGCTAGGAGAATAGTTGTTTTCCTTTTCTTCATTTTCGCAAAATAGTTTTGATTCGATTTGCTTAACGTCTCTTTGTATAAGCGCCGACAAAGTATGAATATAAGTTGTTTCCATAAAGGATGTAGAGTTTGTTTTTATCATACTTTTGGAGTTAACCTTTTGTGGACTATTTGATTTGTTTGGTATCGTAAGTAATTTTAATAGACAATCAGAAGTATTACATCTGCATATATGATTCAAAGTGGCGTATACTTCAAACTTTTTAGTGAATTTTTTATCCTTTAAAACATTAATGCATCCATCTATGAGCTGTGGTAGATCAGGAGAATTTGGAGCCAACTGTATTATGGTACCCAGAAGCCAGAATTCGGGATTACTAGGACTATTCTTGATGTTTATATTATTAGATGATTTGACCCACAACGATGTATCATTAGGGTTACCTGGGGATGACGTTTGATTCATAGAATTAATCTTCAAGATGGACTTTTTTGGCGTTTGTTCAAGAATTGGTAGCCTTGAACCGCAATGAATGGCTGCAGGGGAACTGGGCAACTCACTCACCAAGTCATCCGAAAATGCAACTGATTTCTTCTTTTTGATTGGAGAAGATGACAATTCTTCTCTATAAGAAACCTTTTTCGATGTGGGCTTTATGGGCGATGAATTCAATTCCATGTCCATGTACGCTTGGCCATTTATGAACTCGTCTGCCAATGGTGGGATATTAATGTAGTTCTTTTCTTCTCGCGTATTGAGCTCTCCTCTTGGTATCTTAGCCAAATCGCTATCACTGACCTCTAAATCACCACTTTCAAGTTTGTCCTCTGAAGTATTCATATCTATAATTGAACTGTCTGAAGTCATTTCGCTCGTAGTTTCATCGTCATTGTCATTGTCATTTAAGCCTCTCCTAACCTCTGGATTAGTAGGTGTTGATTTTGTACGAGGAGTTAGCGAATCCCTTTTTTGAATTCCATGGGACGTATCAATTGGATGTGTGCCTAACTTTGCAAATGAGCTCTCTGATGTGGAATCAATGATGCCTAAATGATCATGTGGTTGTTCCACAATTAACGGTGAACCCAGTGACAGCAGACTATTGATTTGTGTGTCAGAGTCTACCCACATTCTATTAACCTCTATTATGCCTGTCTGAATTGAAACGTAATTGTAAACTTGTGTAGAAAGTTTTTGATAAGCGAATGGTTCCATATTTGACGAAAAAAAAAATTTGGCGAGACGCGTTCTTAATAATATACATTTATTGAACTACTTATATTATATTATACTTAACTAATTCTTAGTTCTCTTCGTAGCAGGCTCTTCTTCTGTAATAGAATCGTCATCATCACGAGATCTCTTTATACCTGAACTTTCATCATTGGAATCTAATTCGTTCAGTTGGGGATTAGATTCAGTATTGGTTTCGTCCTCATGTATATCCTCACTATCTTTAACCATCCCTTCGTTTTCAATTTCCCCTATACTAGTTTGGGGCTCTTCTTCTGTCTTTTCCTCTATATTACCGTTTTTGTCGTCTCCGGCGTCGTCTGTTTTTTCTTTGGTTTCTTGTTCAGCAGATTCAGTAGTTTTCTCAGATACTTCAGGTATGTTCAATTCGGCACTTAACATCAGTTTGTTCAATAAATTACCAAATTGCAACCAATTAGAGTTCCTTTGTTTTTTCAAGTGTTTCCAGGTAAGGACATTACGTTCGTCGACGAGCTGGTCCAATTCCTGTTTATTTTTTGCATCTGATATCTTTTCTGTAAGTAAGTCAATTCCCTCTTGGAATCTATCATTGTCACTAGTTTCACTATCCTTGGCTAATCTCAGAATCCCTCGTTCTACCTTCATCTTTCTGGACAATTGAGGGGTTGCATAATTGTTAAAATAGCGCTTTTCCTTGAAAGGTATTATTGTTTTAGTCTTTTCTTGTGCAACTGCCAACTCGGAAGCGGTAAGCACCTTGTCAACGAATAACGATTTGCCAGTTTTTGGATCCTTTCCATATATCAACCAGCCCCACCAGAAAGTTTCATCAATAGCCATATGTTGTAATAAGAAGGAAAATTGACTGTCTATGGAACGATAGCGCTTAGGTATTTCTCTTTTAATTTTGAAGAATAATGACACCAAGCTGTCTGGAGGAGAATCATCCGTAAAGTGTTTAATATTACCTGGGCCATTGAGCGATTTCAAAAATACCTTTTTGTTTGCCGCATTTAATTCATAGTACAAGTGACATATGAAATATATCTGGATTAAACACGTTTGACGTACTTTGCTATCATCAAACTGCTTAGACATAAAACTATAATCTTGTTTCTTCAATTGGTCAAATGAGTCACCTCTTTTTTTCTCATCAAACTGTGCAAGTGAATAGTGTTCTGGGAAGTATAGTTTGTTAGCATATTTTTCTTTAAGATGCATTTCCTCGGCCTCAGATTTTGGCGTAGGGACTGCAAACTGATCAATCTTAGGAGCAGCAGATGACCAGCTAATTTCTTCTTCCATTAGATATTCATAGACCTTTTTTAATGTATCCGCTATTCTGGTAAGTTGCTTATGGTTGGCCGGCTTTAAGAAATAATACGGATCACGGAACAATTTATTTATCTGGATCACATCCTTTATAAAGCTGTCATCTCGGGATCTCGAGTTCGTAGAGAAATCTTTAACAATTCGATTAGAAGTACTGAAATATTTGTTTAACCCCGTATTGTCTTCAAAATTGAAAATGTTGGCTATAAACATTCTCACACGATATTGAAATGTATCGTTGAACGTATCCTTTTTGCACAAATCTCTTTTACCCTGTATATTTTTCTCAAAGAATCTATCTGTTAAAGTATTGCATATTTCCAAGAACGAAATTCTGTCACTAGTGACTTGTTTATCAAAAATCTTATCTTGAATTAAACTTTTACGGGTTTCCAAATAGTACCAAAATGTGCTAATTGCGTTCGTTGACATATTAAAAAGGATCTGCAGTATCTGAGATAATAATTGGTAGAAACTAGATTTGACTGTCGGATATGCCTCGATTACTAGATACATCTGGAAATCCATTAATATACTTAGTCTGTTATAGCTCCTAAGTTCATCACGAGAAATATTAAAATTTCCAGTCTCTATTACTTTATCTGCCTCCACTTCATCCTCATTTGCAGTATTTTTCAATTCTTCTAATTGCTTCGTAAGAAATTCCTGAGCAGCTTTTTGAAAAGACATAGTCAATACGAAATCTCTAGTTTTTTCATCTAAACCTACATTAAAATTTTCTACCTCTTTCTTTAATTTGTTTGCCATCTCATCATCGGAGTCATCACCTTCCGTCATGGGAACATCGATTTTATAGTCAAAGTCATATTCCTTGATAATATCTTCGAAGATTTGATGTTTACCAGTGAACTTTTCAAAATCGAAAGTTTTCAATAAATAATTGGAATCATCATCTAGAATAAATTGATTTATCAAATCAACCAATGCATTAGAACATAATTCTATAGGTTGAGCTAACCTATTATCTTCAGTCGCCATACGTTCTGCAGTTTGTAGTTGGTCGTCTAGTATATTTACGTACGAAAATTGTTCTTGATTTGAAAATATCGAATTATGCGCAGGAAGATTAAATAAGGCCCTTTTAAAGACATATTGATTAACGGTATTATTTACAAATATATGTTAAATATATACATACATGGTGTTCATTAGGAAGAACGTCGGCTCATAATTGTTTTGCTGTACTTTGTTCGACGATGCTTAGGCTGTAAATACATTTTTATACATCGAACTTTTTGGAACGATGCTTCTTTTTGTCACTTTGTCTCTTCTTATTGAATAGACGTTTTTCTTTACGATCATCCTTTATTTCTTGCCATCTCTTTTTGTCTTCTTCACTCGTTTCTCCTGCAAAAAATGTGTTGTCTTTGATCTCTTGAATCAATTTTCGAAAGCATTCATCGGTATTAGTATCTCTATTCCTGGTCGAATCACTCTGGACAAGTATTCCTCCGCTCTTAGTCTCGTACCTGATTTTATTCTCATTTATTTGCGACCTTATTGGCTTTGGAATCCAGTAGCAGAATTGGGGGTTGAGCCATTGATCTGGACCAAGCGCAATGGTAGCTTTCGAAGACGTCTTATTAACCTTTTGTCCACCAGCCCCTGATGCTCTGCTGTAAGATATTTCGAATAAGTTATCTGGTACCTGGGTACTTGAGAAATTTTCCATCCATTCTTTAGCTTTGCTTATTTCTTCTGCCGAAAATTCTGAATCTGTTGCAGTAGAGAACGCACGAACCATACCAGGGATCAATGGATTGACATTCCGAACACAATTTAAGGGAGTTCGGTAACAACTTATCCCTCTAACAGACAACTGAAGTAGCTTCATGCGGTACATGCTACTATTGTATAATCGATTTGAAGGAACAATCACCCATTTATTCGATTTATGTCCCAAAAAATCGCGATAATCTACACCAGGGTCTGATACAGTATAATTGGGCCTAAACAGACCCAATTTATCGAAAGAAGTATAATTGGAGTTTTAACTTATATACGGAATATAAAGGCATTCAAACGAATGTGAGAAGCGAAATATACACTATATTTTGTTGGCAAAAACCACCACCACCACCACCACCATCATGTTCTAAATTTGAGATAAGACCTTTTCGGCATCAGAAACATCAACACTAATGTTATCTGGTTCCACAAATGTCTCAGTGACCTTACCATCTTCCACTAACAAAGCATATCTCTTGGATCTTTCGTTTCCGAAGGCCTTAGTGGCATCAAACTTCAAGTCAAGTGCAGAGACAAATTCTGCCTGGGGATCAGCCAAGAACGAAATCTGGTCCGCATCAATAGTCCCTAACAACAGGCCACCCCATGCCTTCATAACGAACGCATCATTAACTGAAACAATGAAGAACTTTTGGTATCCTTTATTATTGAAATCACGCAATTTACTCAAAAATCCTGGTACATGCGAAGACGAACATGCTGGAGAAAATGCTCCTGGAACACCAATGATAACTGACTTACCGTTTCTGGTTTCTTCGGCAAGATCGACGCTGTTACCTGGCGAGGATTCGAATAATGTAGTGCTAGGGATCTTATCCCCGACTGCCACAAATGAAGGCATCGAGGTTCTGAATGTACGCACAAACTGTGGTCTGGCAATATTTCTGGTTAATTGGGATAACATTGTAGTCAATTGAAGTATGTATGTATCTAAATGTTACGAATAAAGAGTAATGAACGGACTTCAATTCTTCAAAGTTGCTCCGATAGGCTTTTATAGAGCCGAGAGTGCGATTACCGATATCACTGATTATCGACCACTAAGCTGAATAGTTTGAAGTAGGATTGACATACTGAAGAACACAGTAACGTAATAGAGATAAAAACATGTCAGGTAAGGTGACATCACAAAGGTCTTCTCAAAGACAGACACCTGAAGGAGATCAGGAAGAAATAACAGCACAAAAGGCTTTGGAACTTTACAGAAATGCATTAAATTTTAATGTCATAAGTAGATATGACGAATTCATAAAACAATTGCTTTACCATACGTCTCATTGTGTGATATACAAGTTCAACGACGAAACACAGGAATGGGTGAAGACGGATTACCAGGGAACTTTGGCGTTATATTTGCGTGATTTCAAGGTTCCACAGAACCAGGGATTCCCACCAACGTACCAGGACTTGCAGAACCTCTTTTGCTACGGATTGCTTTTATTGAACAGAAACAACCCCGAGTGTTTTTCGTTAGGGCTTTTACCAAACAAAATCATCAAGCATTTTTTCCCCCACGGGTTGAATAATATGAACATTTTGGAAATGGACGTCGAGCTTAATGACAATTTGATCATCGTCAAGGACTTGGTTGGCGATATATACGGTTTGTGGGTTTTCAATGAAGACGACAGAATGAAGTTATACAAGTTACTCGAGTTCTGTTTGACAAATGACTCCTCTATGCTCTAGTTGGCTATTTCTGCTTTGAGGCCGTTAGAAAGCATACAATCGGCTGTTCTATAGACATATGGATTCTCACTACAATGTATTATTGATACGCTAATAAACGGGGGTATAAATGGGGGAATAAATGGGGTTACAAATCGACTATCAGACGTGCATCCAGTCCGATATGAGAATGCTGTGGAGTTTTCATCCATCGCAATAAGGTCGATTTCACAACATAATTGTAATTTTGGTCACCTTGGGATCTACAATGGTTATATCTTAATCACCACATGGGAATTTGCGTTTATATAGCTGTTTGCTCTGCTTATATAGTGTAATATAGCTACTAATAAATTAGTATACTGAAAAATCTAGTGCACACGTGATTATGGAGGACTTGAACGAAAATATCACCAAAAGTTTTGTATATGTCTAACATAAATTTGAAATACACCCAATATATCGGCAAAATCTATTGTTCCTAGAGAAGTGAACTGGCTTGGTGATAATAATTGTGCTAATCAGTGTAAAAATAAATTTGAAGTAGAGTTTACTATCTTTTTACCCCTTTGAACGTACATTTATTACTATTGATAGACTGAATCAAAGACGAATACAAGATCAATAAAATTGGAGTCTAATAGTCAATTCCGAGAATAATGATTAACACCGGGGCGAATAACGTATCCAGTGCTCCCCATAATAGGACAAACCTGTCGGTGCAAGCTCAGACACAAGCGCATCTACAACACTCGAAGCTATCGGTACAGCAGCAGCAGCTATTAAGACAACGACAACAGCAACAATTACAGCAGCAGCAACAACAGCAACAACTCGCTCAGCAACGCCAACAAAGGCCGAATCTTCAAAACTACCACTTTGCAAGCACTTCTCCTGAGATTTTAAAGAAATATGCGAAGTATCCACCGTCGTTGAGTTTCCACATATATGAATCCCATTATCGATTAAGCAATTCGCAAGATTCGAATATCATTCCTAAGTCATCGCCAATGATCAAAAGCTTCTTGCAGCACGTAATGAGAGAAGAAATTCCTTTTGAAATGAGTGAATTGATTAAGGACTTCGCTATTAGGTCATACGATGGGTGTCTTATTTTACAGGTATACGACCATAGAAATATGATTCCAACAGGAGCACCAAATTCATCTAATGCAAATTCTTCTTCCGCATCGACAGCTAATAATACAGATAGTAGCAACCCCAGTGGCTCGGCCAGCGCCAATATTAATACCACTGCAAATACTACAAAAGATACCAGTGGTCCTGCTTCAAAATCTTCTAGTCCGTCGCAAAATGGCGGTAATACCATGGCGTCATCAACAGCAACAACCACTAGTGAATCAACAAAAGTCATTTCGAAACCGAAGGCTTACAGAACCTTATTAAGGCCAACACAACTATCATTATATTATGATTTACTTTATCATACTGATTCGGCATTAACAAAGTTTACTGACCCTTTGTCACTTCAAATGGAATCAGAAATTTTAACCTTAACTAATAGAAAAGTGGATTTATCAGTCCCATTAAATCCGTATTTATGTGAAGATTATTTGAAACCAGAAATAGACTACCCTCGTAAAGAATGGGATGAAAAGAATCAAGATTGGAAGTTAATACATTTGCATCGTGACGAAGTTAAGAACCCACCACGTAAATTACATCAAGATGAATTGATCATGCATAAATCTTCTGATTATGAGGAAATTATGTTTTTGTTATCTAATAAATACAAAAGGTCTGATGATACTCTGGATAAGAAATTGGTTGTGGTGGGCTCGTCATCTTTAGTATCTACCGGCACGACTAATAAGAATGGTAAAGAGGATAGTGCTGATCCCGAAGATAAGGGTAAAAATTCCGAAGCTAAAAACGGAAGCACTACAGTTGTCAATTCTAATACATCTTCAAATTCTACTACTGGCCAATTCATGAGACTTCGGTATATTGAAGAGATCAGAAAACGTAGAGAAGCTCAAAAGGCTCAGCAAGAGGCTGTTGCTGCCCAGGCGGCTAATAATGGCGCTAACTTATTAGCACAATCTAATAATGCCGCTACAATTAATGCAACTAAAGAGACTGTACCAGATAATAAGGGTTCATTTGCGCCGCAAGATAGTAATATAGTACGTCCTGGATCTCAGCCACCACCAGCACCTGCCAATCTGCAACTACAAAGACAACAGCAAATGATGACTGAAAAGGCACAAGCTTTGAGGGCAAGACAATTCCAGGCTCAACAGCAAGCACAGCAACAAGCAAGACAACAACTTCAACAACAGCAGCAACAGCAACTTCAACAGCAAACTAATAAAAGACAAAAAACTGATCATATTCAACAGCAGCCACCTCAACCACCACAATCTCAGCAACAGCAACCACAACAGCCATATAATTCAATCTCTTCGACTCCTCAAATGGGAATGTCTCAACCGGCATCTAGTATGGGAACGCCGGTGATGAATGGAAACATGCCTACTCCACAACAACGTTTCCAACAAGCACAACAACAAGCATTATCCCAACAGCCTCCCCAATCAGCACCCTCCCAGCCCCAGTCGCAAGGGCAAATTAATGCTCTGTCGCCTGGCCAGACTCCAGGTACGGCGCAGAACCAGCCAAACCAAACCCAAATCCAACAACAACAAATATTTCAAAACACTTTGAATCCACAGGAACAACAAACTTTCAGACAATTGCAGTCAAGAATGAATGCATTTGCAATGATGGGTAATTCAGGAATTGCCCCAAATAGAGCACAGTTGACTCAACAACAACAACAACAAGCAATTCAACAAGCCAAGCTTATTCAGCAACAATTGTTGCAGAAATTCCCCGTGTATTTTCAAAGGTTGCGTCAATTCCAGTTACTTCAACAACAGCGAAGACAACAACAACAGCAGCAGCAACAGCATCCGCAACCATCAAGTCAATCTCCACAGCCGATGGGAAATATACCTCCATCGCTTCCGCAAAACTCACAATTTAATCAACATCAAAATGTGGGTGGTAAAACTGTCCCTGGAGCAATGAGTCCTCAGCAGCAACAGATGATAAACCAACAAATGTTGCAACAGATGGCTAATAATATGAATCAACAGGGCAAGAAAAAAATGTATAAAAAGAAGTGAGTGATAATATCTAGATTCACTATCTACGTATATAATTAATATATTATTTATAATTGCGATAATATAAAACAAGACCTGAAATTCATATTATATTGAATAAAATAAAACACACACCTATATAAAATACCATAAACACCTGAAGAGCCAAAATAATTCGATCCAACAAAAAGAAACCCCATAAAAAGAGACAGAAACATAAATACCTATACAACATCAAGGAGTTCTAACCACCTTAACCAATTCTAAGTATAAACAAAAAACTTAGAACATTAGACTACTGCTTACTAAAAAATGAAGATCCATTCAATTTTCATTCTTGATTATCAATAGTACTTCCATAAACTCCAAGCGCTGTGATAGTTGCCAAAGCATATAAAGCACCTTTTGCAACCTCTTTAGCAATTGATTTGAATGTAAACTTATCCTCTGTTGATGGCAATTTGACCTTCTTTGATTTGTGTTCCTCGTCTGAGGATTGAATATCATCTTGATATTCATCAAACGACCTTTTCCTGCTACTTTCAGCACTAGAAGACCCTGACGTAGTAAACGAATCTAAAAAATCTTCAGTATGATCTAATACTGGAACAATAGCATGTGGAAGGCCACAAATAGTAGATTCTTCGGTGTTGGAATTGTTAAAACCAGAAAATTTATGACAACCCCAACCATCATTATGATCAGCACATTCTTCATCAGAATTGATGTTTGCAATGATAATGCTTGTATCAAGTTCAAGTTCTGAGTCATTCGATTCTGATATAGAGGAGCTGGAGCTGGAACTGGAACTTGAGCTGGAGCTAGAACTCGAGCTGGAGCTAGAATCAGATTCAGAACTAGAAAACCCTGATAAGGAATCGGAATCTGAAGCTATTTCGGAATCTGAAACCAATTCCGACGTAAATTGACCAAACGAACAACTTTCATCGTCATCCAGATTCTCGCTTTTTGCATCCACTACCTCATGCGTACTCGAAATTTCCAAATGAGGTTCATGAATATCGAGATCTGCATTACCATCAGTATCTTTACAATCTGATAGTGAAACTTCCACTTGCGTCGTAAAATCGTTTGGCTTATCTGTATCTTCAGAACTGTTATTAGGTTTAGATTCAGCCACGGCTTCGTTCTCATTACCTTCTGTACGACTCCTTTCTGCACAGGCACATTCGTGTGGATGCTTACTTCCGACCTCAAAACAGTCATCAAAGTAATATGCATCGGTATCATACGTCTCGTTCATACTCGCATCAATGGGTACACCTTCCGATACCGATTCATGATCCCTATCAATTCTGACGACACTAAATTTAAGCTTGTCATCCAAATACTCAAAACAAAGCTTCAATCCAATTGGAGGGTTGGAGAATTCTTCCAATGGAATATCATCGTGATCTGGGAACTTCTTGACAATTTTTGCAATCCAAGTCGAGGGCTTGGAAACAATAAACCCAATCGTATCACACGACTCCAACAAATGCCATCTATTTGCCACAATGAACTTATCATTGACAGTCGTTCCAAAAGTTGATCCACAATCTTTAACGTATAATGCTCCATTTCTATATTGGAGACACGCATGTTCCTTCGAAAGGTGTGAATTATCGAAGTTTAAATTATCTTTGCCAATGACCCTGCGGCTGTCTCTTTGGGACCCTCTCCTAACATATATGAGTTGCCCATCATCATAATCAATTAATCTTTCATCTGAAGATGATACTTCGTTCTTTACTTCTTTTTCTGGTGGAGTAACTCCTTGGGTATTATAAGTACTCATCTTAGCGTGATTAGTCCACAACGTGCAAACAATTGCAAACAATTAAACTTATTTAAATATTTATGAAACTTACGTCGACTATAACACAACTGTTTTGTATATTCTAGCAATAAACCGGCTATACTAGAATAATTTAATTATTAATAAGGAGTAATAAAATCAGAGGCGAATTTGAAACTGTGGAGGAGTTTCTTATCAGTACACCCTGCGTGTAAAATTACAAAAACTGATTAGAAGCTTGTTCTTACAGTAACATAATTCATTAGTCGTTATAGGTATAGATATATAGCTATATATAATAAATAACCAACATGAATAGTTGGAGGAATAATACATGAGTTTATTTGGTTTCAAAAGTGAAAAGAACTCGAAATATCGAATGAACTATCGTAATAACCCAAACCAACTTATCAAATCGTTATTCTTCGTATAGCTTACTAAATTCAGTGCCACCTTCTTCTGATGGAGGAACCTGCAACCAGTTCAACTTATCGTACTTGGCAGTTCCGTCGATAACGTGAAATGTGTAGGCATACCTGGACTTGGTCGACGTGTTCTTCTCTGATTTGTGTAAAACGGAGTTGTGGATAAGCACCAAGGACCCAGCAGGGCACTCGACGAGCTTATAGTCGTTTGGGGAGTCATCAGGGATTTTTTTCGAAGTATCGTATTCCACGGATATGAAGTTGCACCCGTTTTTGCCCCCATTGACCTTGGCAAACCGTTTGGTAATTGGAAATCGCTTATGGGATCCGGGATTATACGATAAACACCCATTTTCCTCCGTACAATCTTCTAATGCAAACCAGAAACCTACAGCAGACTGGGGCTCGGTGTACAAGAATGTTCCGTCAGTATGCGAGGGTACCGAATTCTCTCGAGCATCATGACCTCCCATTTGGGGCTGCTTGAAAATACACATACTCTGCAATACTCTGGGGTCTGTGTAGTTCAAGGACCTTGCAATTGCCTTCACCTTACTGTCAAATGTAATCTTATGGAAAACTTCGTCCTTCATATGCAATCCATGCCCCACCTTGTTAATGGCCTTATCCTTGGGGAACCGCAATTGGCCATTCTCTTTATCAAACGCATCCACGTCAAAGAAAAACGAAATCTTATCCGCTGAATCAAAAAAGTATTGATCTCCGATATGATCATTGTCGTTGGTCTTGAATTGTGTCTTCGGATGGTCTTTCAAATCGAAGTCATTCAAAAGGGCGTGCGATCTGTCAGCTAACTGTTGTATTTGCTCACTAGTTAAAAAGTTTGGTATGCATAGGACTCCTTCTCTTTGGAACGTTTCTAGCTGTTCTGGCGTTAGTCCTTCGATTGCCATGATATCAATTTTTGATACCTTATAAAAGATTATATATTAGTTCAAAATTGTATGATCTTTTTTGCCTGCCAACATTACGGCCGTTCGCGGTAAAGCATCATCACTATTTTTGATGGTACTAGAAGTTGCTTCCGTATCTGCATCGGGCAGTCAATACAATCTCTTATCAGGAATCACGTCTTTCCAGATTTATTTGCTTCTTTGACAAAATCTTTCATATATGTTAAGCTTGTTCAACAGGTTCAAAGAATACGGTATTAAAATAAAAAAGTTGGACATATATGCGCATACTCAGTTAATGGTATTTCTCGAACAGAATGAATAAAGTAACAGTAGATATACCGATAGAGCTCAATGATATGTTGACTAACTAAACACTTTACATAGGGTTGGTCCATGGTAAACTTTATTCGTTTATTCATATTTCCGGAGAAGCACCATATTATAATTAGCTTCCAGAGTCGCAGTACCCGAAGTAGTAAAATGTAGCACCATAACCGTATAAACTGGGTTCAGCTCAAACTACAAATTGGGAGCCAACTAAGTGCATAGGAGTTATAATAAACCGCGAGCACTGCTAAGGTGGTACTAGACATATTCGTTTATACCTTTTAGAATATCAAGGTATATGCGCTAACATGGAAAATGGATAATACTTTAGATGGCCATGAGTTGCTTGGCCCTTATACTACACATTAATCTAATTGGGCTATTATTGGAAAATATATGCACTAATAAGGAGTTTATTTGAGTTATATTCATCTATATGTGGGTCGACGGAGGAATATTGTCCATAATTTGGGATATTTAAAGACGATCGGTGGGCACAATTGCAATGAAGTTATATTTGTGATACGCTTAGTTGAAACTAATAATCGATATGTCTACCGAAAAAATTTCATTTTTGCTCAATTGGCAACCAACGCCATACCATATTCCAATTTACATTGCCCAAACAAAGGGATTCTATAAAGAGGAAGGCGTTGATATCTCAATTTTGGAACCATCCAATCCATCTGATGTCACCGAATTAATTGGATCAGGAAAGATTGATATGGGTTTAAAAGCCATGGTTCACACACTTGCTGCAAAGGCTAGAGGATTTCCCGTTACTTCTGTTGGATCCTTGTTAGACGAGCCATTTACCGGTGTCTTGTACCTTGAAGGGTCTGGGATTACATCTGATTTCACATCCTTGAAGGGTAAGAAAATCGGTTATGTCGGTGAATTTGGCAAGATCCAAATTGACGAATTGACCAAACATTATGGTATGACTCCTGATGATTATACCGCAGTTAGATGTGGTATGAATGTTGCTAAATATATCATCGAAGGTAAAATCGATGCTGGTATTGGTATCGAATGTATCCAACAAGTTGAATTAGAAGACTATTTAAGAAAGCAGGGAAGACCAATAAGTGACGCCAAAATGTTAAGAATCGACAAGTTGGCTGAATTAGGCTGTTGTTGTTTCTGTACAATCTTGTACATTTGTAATGATGAATTCTTAAAGGCTAACCCTGAAAAGGTTAAAAAATTCTTGAAGGCCACTAAGAGGGCCACTGATTATATCCTTACCAATCCAAAGAAAGCCTGGGAAGAATACTCAGATTTCAAGCCACAAATGACTTCTGAATTGAATTCTAAGATGTTCGAAAGATGCTTTGCTTACTTCTCGGATTCTTTATACAATGTTCACCGTGACTGGAAGAAGGTTACCGCCTATGGTAAAAGATTAGAGATCTTACCTCCAGATTATGAGTCAAATTATAGCAATGAGTATTTGTCATGGCCTGAACCAAAGGAAGTTGGAGACCCAATCGAGGCCCAAAACTTGATGCTCAAGCACCAAGAAGAATGTAAATCTTGCGGTGGTTATCGTAGATTGGCTGTTAACTAACTTTGTCAACAGAGTATTTAGAATTTATATTATTTTCATATATTTGACTAGTATATTTCTTATTTGACCTATTTACAAGCACGTAGAATTCGTCTATTTATAAAGAAAGCTTAACCACGATTCTTTTCTAGCTTCTCTTTCAGCTTCTGGAACAAACGCATCAATATGGGTTCTAATTTTCTCTGCCCCTTCCTGAGCCTCCGCTTCTCTTCCAATAACGTCGACAAAATTACCTTCAGAGTCCATTAAATAAAAGAAAATCGAGTGATCAACTAAATAGTCCTGACCTGGCTTGACATCTGGTGGAGTCGAGAAGTAAACTCTATATTTCTTACAAGCATTCTTGACATTTTCGTAAGGACCAGTCAAACCGATAATTGAAGGATGGAAGTCGCTCAAGTATTCCTTAATGATTTCTGGAGAATCTCTGGCAGGATCACACGTAATGAAAATGGGTTGTAATTCAATATCATCCTTTTCTTTCAATTCATCTAACATAACTCCCAACTTATCTAATTCATCAGGGCAAACATCTGGACAATGAGTAAAACCAAAGTAAATAATGGAGAACTTCTTTTGATCGTTCTTCAAGTTCTCCTGAGTAAATGGATTTTCTTCAGTATCAATTAAATTGAAATTACCCCCAATTAAAGGCTTACCATAACCCCTTTTGGCTTCGGTTTCCTTCTGAATTCTCAATCTCTCCTTCTCTGTACTAAACCAATAAGTTACACCTCCACCAAATACCAATAATAAAACAATAGCCTTCCAAGCAGCAAATTCCACACTATTTCCACCAGCAAATTTCTTATCTGGCTCCTGTACTCCACCAATAGCAACTCTACTCAAAGGCCTCTTTCTAGGTTTTGTTGTATCCTCCAGCGCTTCAGAAGAGGTGGGTTTATTCTCGTTTAATCTATAAACCGAATTACTCAATAAACGTCTGGAATAAGACAAACTGTTTATTCTCAAGTTATGAACCGTCGAAACACGAGGTCTAAGAAGTATTCTAGATAACATTGCTCTTGTTCTTTACTTATCCAAGGTAGGTATTATAGACCTTCTTAATTTAATCATCCGATCGTTGGTGAAGATTTTATATACACGACCTTAATGAGACAAAATTGAAATATTTAAGAGTATACTATATCACAGGAAGAGGTTTTTAGCTGAAATACAAGAATATGACGGTTTCAGACTTATTAAAATGGGCACAGGAGAATGGTACGTTCATCTCTTCAGATGTAGAGTTTAAAGAATTATCCCAAGGGAATATTGGAGCTATATATAGGGGTAATTCGATCGATAAATCCAAATCATCAGATGATTTTGATCTTCAACTTCCTATAGATCTTGCAATAACTTTAAATAGGGCAATTGAATCCTTTGACGAGAGTGGCCATGGTGATTTCCGTGCTATTTCTAAAAAGACATCGAATATCAACTCTTTGTTGAAGTTGTTCTTGGCTCGTGAAAGAACATCGTCCAGATTGAATTCATCGTACTTCAAGCCTTATTTATCATTATTACCTGATTTAAGTGACATCAACTCTCCGTACTGTTGGACGTCTCAGGAGAAATCTCTCATTAAGGGAACAAACTTGGGTAATTCCTTAAAAGACAATGTTGGACAATTGGTCGAAGAATGGTGGCAAGTGATAAACGTTTTGCCACAAGAATTACCAAAGCCAGAAGAGCATTTCATTAATATGAAATTCTACTACGAGTATAAATTCTACAATGACGATGATATGTACAACT